TTTCTAAGAATAGATTCATCTTTTTTATTATTTTTATTTGGAAGTTGTTATTAATTTTAGTAATCAAAATTATAATGAATAGAAAAGTATTAGCATTTTCATTTATATGCAGTAAAAGAAAAGGTTCCTTCAAAACAATTATTTATTTTAGTTCAAAGTTCCTCCTTTCTTAATTTTAAATAGTCATCTTTAACTATTTATTTCACGTCCATCATTTAATAATTTTTCGTTTCAAAATATGTTTCGTATAGTTGGTCGGAAGTTCTTTGAAGTGCTATAAAGAATATACGCTCACGATTGAGAAATATAACCCGTAAATAAGTCAAAGGAGATGATAAGCACGAATTACATTTACTAAATTCACCAGTACGACATCATTTTTTTATCGATTTTACAAGTATTACAAGCACGTCGTTAGTACTTCAAAACAATGTGAAAAACCTTTCCTAACAATCGAGAATTGCAATTCACTTGTAGACTAGCTCGATGAAATTGACAACAAAATTTTCTTCCTTACTTATTCCTTTTTTTTTTTTTTTTTGGGAGATGAGATTTGAACCCACCCCTAGATCCTCCCCGCTTGAAAATAAATAATTTAAGTTTTAAATTTTAAAATTAATACATTTTAATTTGTTGTTTCTATTTTAATTTCAATTTAATAAAAAATTAAATTAATATATTTTAGTGTAACATACATATTATAACTTGTGTTTTAATGGTATAAATGTGAGGGTTGAAATTTTACCTATAAAAGGTTATTAGATTTCATTATTGTATATATCTTAAAAATCGCTTGAAAGTACTCCCTATACATTTTATGTTCATATACTTTTGGTGACTCGATAAAAGTCCATTCACTTATCTTCATATGGTCGTACTCATAGAAAGAGAATCAGTTGTGAGCCATATGAGTTTTATCTTGGAAACGTGTAGTGTCGAAAGTATTCGCACGAAGGAAAGACAACACGACTTTATGACATCGTCTTTAATGTGACTCCCAAAGGCTTGCATTCTAAGATTGTTCTTATTTTGGAATTATAATGTTTATATTATTATAATATTGTTATATTTATGCAATTATTGAATTATGTTGTTTATATTTGTTAGTTGATATATTTATCTACACACAAATCATCCAATTTTTCCAATAATCTAAGGCCGTATTGAGTGATTTGTGTGTAAATGAACATTTCTCATGGGTTGTATGATATGATTTGAAAATTATAAGCGGGCAGTTTTATGATGGAACATCTTCACAATTATCTTTTAATAAGGAGGCTCATTTCTATTTAATCCTCAAGAGGTAAATTAATTTACCATGTTTTGATGCTTAGGTGTCAAGAATATAAACCATTTAGTGTAAGGTAACAGTGACGAGTATTTAATTGAAAAAAAAAAAGACCATTATATTATTTAATTTATATTTGTAACTCATATATATTGTTATTAATATATTTACTGTATTAAAAAAAATGATTGAAAAAGTGAGAAATATACATCTTATACTATTATGATGCTAATTTCTATTTGCTTACTTGATGACTACAAAAGGGAAAATTATTTCCAAGCTATGATACTCAAGCTGAAGGTTAGATTATGTGATTTTCACAGTCATTAATATTTGTGAATATACATGAATTTCGCAATTGTTTTTTTCAATGATTAGGTGAATGATTGATCATGGTATAAGTTTGCTGGTGATATTCTGAAATTACCATGCATATATGTGGAAATAGAAACTTATTGAACAAATTATGTTAGAACATGATTGTTAGTCATTTCAAAATTTATTTGTTTAATCTTAACTTCTTGGTAATAAGAGGTATGAGTAAATGTTTCAAAGAAAAGTTTTAGAATTTAAATAGAATAAAATGTTGTAATCGATTGTATAAAATGATGTAACTGACACTTGGATAATTAATGTTATAATATTGTATACTCTATGTTGGAGATTTTCTAAATTTCATCTCCTTTTATTAATAGGCTTTGCAAATAATTGCTGGAGAGTGAATATTAGTAACTAAAGAGAGGGGAAAAAAGGGAGAGTGATATATTGGTGAATATATATGGCGTAAGATGCAAAAAGGGTAAATTTAACTCGCTCTCAATAACTCCTAACGAAGGAACATACTAAGATGTGATCCCCTACACACGTGTACTCATAGTGTCAAATTGGTATATATTTTTACTTTGCTTACAAGTGTAGCGTATGAGTATTTGAAGTTATAAGAAAAGTTAATAGTGTCTCAGAACATATTCCACTTTATTGCCTTAAAGCATTAGGTGTGGACTTTTCAAGTTTTACTTTATTTTGGAATGAAACACTTGACGATGCCTAGGTTGTTAGTCATTTTCTTTAGTGCGTGATGATGATAAAATTTTGAAGCAAGAAGTAAACTAATTGTAAATCATAGATGGGTTATTGTCTTGAATATTGTAACCATAAACCTATAAGTTTTAAATTTCAGAATTAAAGGTAATTTTAATTTTTCAAATTTCTATTTTAATTATCTTCTTAATACATAATTAAAAACTCATAATTTACACTGTAACATATATTTTAATGGTCTAAATGTTTCTTTTCATCCAAGACATAGTGCAAATGTCTTAAATCTAGGAGGCAAAATGTGATAAGAATGTGAATTTGATTTGTAGTATTGTTTTAATATCATTCATAATTAGTGGTACTCTACTTCGATAGGTATTATAAGGATTTGTTTGGGAGTGATTTTTCATCCCAAAAAATTAATTTTTTGACTATTATTTCACTATTTCAATCGTAAAGTTTGACTTCTTCTTTCACAAGTGGTCCCCACTTTTTTTCCTAACGGTTACAAAATCAATTCTCAAAATCACTCACAAACGGAGCCTAAATATAATCAAATATTTGGTTATAATTTATTGTTATAATATTTTGCTAATGTGTTTAATAATAATTTGTGGATCTATTGGTGGATGAAAAATCATGAAAATGAGGAAACATGCGCATTAACCATCTCTACAAAATGTTGGATCATATCAAAAGAGATAAATTATAAGATTGTATACTCATTCTATTCAAGTTGGATATCTTTGAAACGTAGGGGTGTTTAAAATTTCAAATAGATGCACTTTACATACTTTGTCGTAAAATTGACTTTGAAAAGTGTTGAAATAAAATTGTAGACATACAGGTAAAATACAAGAGCTCAATGGATCCATTAGTGCAAACATATTAGAAGTATGCAAATTGCAAGTGGAAAATAAGAGCTTGTAAATATTGTGGTATTAATTTATTGCTCAAGAGGGACGTGAATAAATAAAGTTCGAGATGGACATATATAAAGCATCGAAGGGAATGAGCTTAAACCTATAAGGGAGTCACCTTTGAGAATCATTTCCAAACTTTGTAATTGAAGATCCCATAAAAAAAGTTCAATGTGGTATGAACAACCTGCATTGCATAACTTGTTATAATATTATTTTATTTGTGTTCATCCCTATGGTGATAATATTAATAAATGTGATGTTAGGAATGATTTAACTCTGAATGAGTACCGAAGCGAGAATTTTCGCAAAGTGTGGATCACATGCATCCTTAGAAGACTCATCTATATAAGAGTTGTCATGAGACTGTGGTTATGGGATTGGGCTATTTCTTAAAGACTTTTACTAGAATCAAGATTAGAATACATGGTCATTAAGAGCATTATCTGTTATGAACTAGAGCCTAAATCGATACTCGATGTGGGACAATTGAAGTTTGGCTAAAGTAACTTAATTTAAGGTTTGGTCCATTATGACACTCTCAAATCGAAATTGTTATCACTAAGTAAGGTTCAAGTCCAAAAATCACCTACACCTATTACACAGTATCACGTTTTATATATATATATATATTCAAAGTTTAAAACTTGTGGAGGATTGATGGGAAAATAAATAATTTAAGTTTTAAATTTTCAAATTAATACATTTTAATTTGTTGTTTCTATTTTAATTTCAATTTAATACAAAATTAAATTAATAATATTATAGTGGAATATATGTATTATGACTTGCGTTTTAATGGTATAATTGTGAGGGTTGAAATTTTACCTATAAAAGGTGATTAGATTTCATTAGTGTCTGTCTTAAAAACCATCTAAAAGTACTCCCTATATATTTTATATTCTTATACTTTTGACAACTCGATAAAGGTTCGTTCACTTATCTCCCTATTATCGTACTCATAGAAAGAAATCAACTGCGAGTCACATATATTTTATCTTGAAGCCGCGTAGTGTCGAAAGTATCCGTACGAAGGGAATGCAACATGACTTTAGGACAACGTCCTTGACGTGACTCTCTAAAGCTTGCATTCTAATTTTCTTGTTATTGTTGAATTATAATGTTTATATTGTTATAATATTGTTATGTTTATGTAATTATTGAATTATGTTATTTATATTTATTAGTTGATATGTTTATCTACACACAAATCATCCAATATTTTCAACATGGGAAGCCACCAAATGCATTATCCGACAGATTACAAAGGAGGGTACAATGGACTTAGAAATTGCTCAATTTTTTGTTAGTTTATGGACAGTCTCCGCATGGGCGAATGGTTCCCTAAACCCGACCAAATCATATTACATAACATGACAATGTTTGCTCAATTGCCTGAGTCATTGCCTCTAACCCATATGATAATGACACGTGGCACCCAAATCATATTTATAAAATTAAACTGTTGAAGAGATGGAACTACATTTTTAGTAAAAATGTGTAAAAAAAAATATCAAAATTACATTCACACTTTCAAACGTTTAGCATCTTTTACACTTGAGGTCTACAAGTTTTGAACTTTTAAGCAATCAACCTTCACTTTTCACAGCAAAGTGTTCTTTTGAACAGATTCCAAATCCATAAAGATAACTTTACCACTAAAATAACAATTGATAGATTTTGGACCCAAATACAAAAGTTGTTAAAGAAAAGCCATTAACTGTAAAATAACTCGCTTTTAGTACAAAAAAATATATCACAAAACCGTAAGCTCCATAGCAGTGGGAAGAGTCCAGATTCTTAACATTCTTTATCCTTTGTCATGTTCAAAGAAAAGCAAGATCATTCAGATCTCATGGGGACAAATGTCGTCCCTCTTCGACCTTTGGTCGACGACCCAACTGTACTATGTGTAATGAGAAACTCATCAACTATCCCTTTACACACCATTGTTCTACTTTCGCATAGATACGTCTATTCACTTATTATGTTTCAGCCTGGTCTGCTGCAAAGAATTACATTAGTTCATTTTTCTTCCTTGACACTCTCCAGTATTGTTTAGCACTTCACCAAACAAGAAACTAATGTATAAAATTACAAAAGCAGGATTTAGAAAACTTATCTTCTCCACCAATCTGGCACTTTCAGCCTCCTGCTCCTATGTACAGCAAGATTTACAGCAGGAAGTTTATCCCGAACCTGTCGCCAAATCATATTGACTGCATCTTCCTTCTTTGCGGGGTATTGGTATTCAAAGTGATGTGAAATGCTCCGAAGTCTCGACCACATTTTCATCCATTTTTCTTTTGGGATTCCCTTCAACTCATTGAGCATGTAGTCCGGTTTTAATGCATCTTTAACCGAGAAGAAAATTGAGAACTCCTTGTAGTCTATTTCACTTTCGTAGGGTAGCTCGATTTTATCGCTCACTATGACAGGAACACAGTGGCTCACGATGGCATCAAAAAGGCGGCAAGATGATGGAGTGTCTCCCGCAGGATTTAAACAGAATTTGGATGAACGCATTCCTTCAGTCGACTAGTTTAAGAAAAGAGGTGGACAAAGTGTGAGATGGAGACGAAAATAGTTCCTTTTGTTCAAAAAGAAAAATTTATGGGAGAAGTTATAATGACTCTACTGAAGGAGCTCCTTGCAGAGTATGGTCAAACTTTGATACTTCTTCCATAGAATTTACAAGAAAAATACTTGTTCGAAACATTACATGATCTTAGGCAGATGATTTGGTTGTGAAATGCATTACTTAAGGAAGCAAGCATGTTTGGCCAAGCTCAAAGAGTTTTGTAAGTAAATAAATGAGATTTATTGGTCAGAGTTAGAAATAAGCTACTTATTTTGACAGTAAGCTAAAAGTTACTTTTTACTCAGAAGATGGAAAAATATTAAGTTATCCAAACATGAATGACGGCATGATTTTGATTGAAAAATAAATTTACTTTTCTTAAGCTTAGCCGGACATGCTTGATGATATCTGCAAATATCTGTGGCATCGAGGAAGCAAAGGAAAACAAATGGTGAGGTTACTGACATGAACTCGGAATACAAAAGTAAAATTGCTAGTGCGCCGAAGAAAATGTGACTGAAAAAAAGGGAAAAGGGAAAAAGAAAAACTGCCATTAAAAGAGCTCGATATTTCCATATAATTGAAATGAAAAATGACAGCTAGAACTTGATTTTATTCACAGATATTTTTTTCACTGACAGGAGAAAAAGAAAGACAAGAAACTTACAGTTCTAAATCCTTCTTTTGATGCACTGCCTTCTTCATATATGACATCTTCATTTTTTCCTAATATTCTTTTCAGTTTAACACGAACTAGTCCCTCCTGCCACATGAATACGTAACAGGAATATTTGCTTCATAAAAGCATAAGGTTAACTCTTTTTTTTTTTTTTTTTAATTGGCATTACAGCGTACCTCTTTCCTCACAGTCCTCCCACGGAAGAAGAGAAGGGTTTTACGAGACTCGTACGGATCCTCTTTGTTATCACTGAGATATGATTCCACCATGTGTACATATGGAGCGACAACATCTTTTGCCAGTTGAGAAATACTCATTATGCGACCAAAATCGGCAACAATAAAAATGGAAGCATTCACTTTATCACGATGAATTCTGAAAGCATTAGGATGATGTATAGGAATTACATGGTCCCGTCCAGCAGACCTCTGCCAGTGTTCGGATCCTCTTAAAATCTCAACAATTTCATGCTGCAATAAGTAGCAACGAATATCAAATTCTAACCATGCAAAGAAAAATCAACATCAGAAGCCATAATAAAATGAAAGATTATTCATAATTCCAACCATCAGACAGAATAATGAACTCCATGCAATATACTGAAGGGGATAGATAAAACTACCGCATTATCATTTATGCCTAATCCCTTTTAAGTTGATAAACTGTAGCATCTCAGACAAATTTTTCTTAATTGACTAACTTATTCAAGATGATAACACAGTGATCAGAACTCATCTGATAAATAAATATACGAAGTGATAAATGAGGTCCTAACCGCCCCAACTTATTAACAATAATTTGGCCTACAAAACCAAAATGACCCACACATTAATTGTGTAATTTGACAACTACTTAAGGAATGCAACTTAGAAAGAATAAAGTTCGTTTGCTAAGATCTACTTATGGTGACATCCAGTGAAACAGTATTGTTCACAAGACAGTAAATGATTACTCCTCAATTGCATAGTGAAGAGGAAAAGGTTGGCAGGTATTTGGGCCTAAAAATAGGAGACGGAGAGCATCCTTGGCTAAACTTAAAAAGATTACTCAAGTATGTAAGCATCAAAGTAAACAACTTTTTAAAGGTCATAGTTGGAAACAAGGGACTTATTTTGTCAATAAGGTAACTTACTTCCAAAAAATGTAACATTTTTTTCCTTGAAAGTAAGAAGAGAGTAAGTTATCCAAATACATACAAAAACAAGATTTGCTAAGCTTAGCCCAACATGCTGTCTGATCTTATGTTTTTTGTTTCAAATTACCATTACACAAAACATGCCACCTCTAACACATGCACGTACATATACGCAACCATATACATTGTTATTAATTGAGAGATTCACGCTGCTATATTAGAAGAAGATTCCTCAATAATTTCACATTTCTTAACTTAAGGATGCATGATAATGATAATCAATGCTCAGCATTTGCTAAAATTGCCTCTTTCTGCTCAGTTGGCTTTGATAGATGATGCGGTTTTTCATTCATTTGAATTAAGAATGTTAAAATAACATGGTTTCTTGCAGGTTTGGCAGATGAGGACAAGAGTCACTGGACCTTGATTTTTATCCATACCATGAGCATGTTGGGAAATGTGGCTTTCTTACAAGCCATGGGATCCACAAATTGTGTGGACCAAAATGTACACAACTTAGGGTACCACAACAAATAAGATAAGTAGGTTCGGAATCTCAGAATCCTTTTTTGCGCTAAAAGATTGACAAGGTCAGCTTTATTTGCTCTAACAAACAATACTTAAGTTGTATATGACCACCTGACAGAGGTTGTGTTCATAATGTTGGAGATTACGATAAAAAATAAACACTTACTGTGGGTGCAAATTTAGAAATTAGATGGTAATTTGTACTCTCATAATAATTTCTAGTCAAAAAAGTTAAGAAACCTTTTCATTTGATATTTTAGTAGTAGAATTTTTAAGTTTTTCAATTTTGCTTTTCTCCTCTCTTTCGCTTTCTCTTTTTACCCCTCAACATCAAATAGGATTAGAGCTTTCTTTCTTTTGGTCAAATTCTTCTAAAAACAGAAACATATTGCTAACCATAGAAGAAGCAAAGACAATATATGTCGGCGGAATCTGATTTTCTCAGCTGGTCCATCAGCCCACTAACTTGATCAACCCAACCAGAACTTAGCCCAGTAAGATTTCTGCCAGTCAAATTCATCATCCCATTAATCCTTCAAACACACTGAAAACATCAATCCACGCATAACCTTCATGCACCTTACGTACAACTGTGTTCATCTGCCACCAATGGTCCATGCAGCTCAACTCAATGGACTTAGAATCGCCTGCTCTACTCAACCTCATCATCTCCGACCTCCAATAACAATCAGGAAACTATACATTATCCTTCACAGAGCGACACCTTGTGACCAATCAGTGAACCTTCCAACAATTCTTCCAGAATATGCCACAGATGAGTCACCTCCAGCCCTCGTACCGTTGTGGGCTGAGATGAAGCTAAAATCGTAAGAGAACTGCATACAACCTATCATAGAAACCAATAGTTTGATCAATTTTAAACCATAGTTAAGCTACTTCCATTGCTCAGGACCATTATGGCTCAACTCGAGGAGCAAAGGTTCCGTGGTGACTTTTTTGAAATTCCTTACGTCACCATTTACATGGTGTGAAAGATGAAAATAACATGGTCCTTCAGAGAACCCTATTAAGGGCATAGAAGTAAGAACTTGAAACTAACATGCCCATTGGTTCTTGATATTCTTGTCCAAGTTCCTTCACTGAGCCTAGTGATGGATCTCGGTCTACTCCTCGAAAAAGAACCCAGTATAGTGAACCCATTGGATTTTGATACCGAATAAATCACGAACGATAATGTTACTTGTTGGGAAATTTTCAGTCGGCATCGACCAAATGATTGAATTAAATATCGACATATCAATGAAATGGCACGACCCTAAAACTACTTGGGCCGTGACCTAATTTAATTAGAGACACTCATGGCCCATTTAATTCTTGGATGGCTCTCTTTAATGTTCCGTCCCTTGATCATTTGTTGGTCCGATAGCCCATTGTTAGAGCCCACCTAAAATATACCCTAAATCATTGTGACCGTGAGTGTGCTTTGCCTTTTTGAGAGAAAACTGGTGGCTGCCCTTATTGTTCTTCTTCTTTGTGCCTTGGCTTCTATTGCTTTTCTCTTTGCCTTTGTCGCTTGCAAACCACCACCATATTTGTGTCCTTAGTGGATACATTGAGTTGAGCAACCCTAGAAAACTAAGAGTAGTGGGTTTTGGTTCATTGATTTGATATGTTTGATGAGGTCAGGATTAGTAAACTCAGTCCAAAAAATTACCGATTTCAAAGAGCTTCCGCAATAGAACCCCAGTGCCAATCTTATGCCTACTCAAGTAAGGCTCGTATGTCTTCCTCCTCCGTTTTGCCATTAATAATTCTCAGTAAAATAAATTTAACTAGCTTTGAACCATTTAGGCAATTAATATAACCATCAAAATTACACTAATCAATTACAAAATAAAAAGGAGAAACTCAACAAAAAAAAGTACCTGCAATTTGATGTCAATCTCTGTATCCGGGTCTGTCATATTGCGGCCATGTACATTGACGCTGAGAGAAGAAAAGAAAGGCACAAAGAACACATCAGCTAGCTCCGGATCCATAACCCGAAGAGCCTCTGGGCTCGACCCGGAATCACCATCCTCATCCCCATTGTACAGCAGGGACGCCATCATCCAATACTCCACGCTATGCTGCTTCCGGAGCCCATTATTCTCCCTCCACGCCGGAAAATTCTCCGCCCTCACCGGACTCTCGTCCGGCAATGAACCGTCGATCATCCCCACATTGAACCGCCGCGGCAAATCGTACATATACACTCGGAGCGGCGATCCAGTGCGGCAGAACGTAGAATTACTCGATTGGGGTAAGAACGAGAGAAATCTTGATTTGTAATCAACGGTTCCTGTAAATGTTAAAGAAAAACACAAGAAAAGGAAGAACACAACTAAACAAGCGAGACTCTTGTTGATCACGTCCTTCATTTTGTTCTTGAACACAATTCTTTGTGTGTCTACTGTGCGTTGATCTGAAGTGGGATTTTTGTAGGAGTGAAGAATGAACAAAGGAAGACTGGATTCGAGGAAATGAATAAGAATTTCGGATTTTGGATTTATATAGCTTCCGAGTGATGGGGGGAAAATGTACGAGCCTAGAGTGTGGGTGGGGATTTTTTTGTCTATGTACCATGATATTTTGGCACGACGGGACGGGATGAAACGTCTTTGGATGGGATACAATTCAACTATAGAAATATGAGTGGGATAGGAGTGGAGATTAAGGCCCTGTCTGGGCATGATTTTTGGGTGGATTAAAAGCCAAAAACTAGCCGTTACTTTTGACCAAGGGCCTCACATGTGAGTATGGTAGTCAACGAAGGCGGCTGGCAACGGCCCAAAAATCACTGCCAACAGCAATATTTCCCTGAAAATCACAGCCAGACAGGACCTAAAATATTCGAATTCGAGAGAATTATGTTCTCCATCCTTCCGGATTCGATTGATTGAGATGGAGCAGGACATTTAGCTCACAATTTACCATGCTATTTGTACGTATTTGTTTCGCGCGGGTTAGTCGCTAACAATTAAAAAGGATCAGACGATTGTGTAAGGGACAAAACCTCTTGAAACAAAGTCCCAAAAAGGGGTCTTCTTTTATTGGCGATGAATTTTACAATTGGAAATGAAAAATAACGTGCCTCCAAGGGGTGCAAGTACACGAGTTACTGAAAGAAAAGTGTTCAAGTCTAAAAACTAAGGAAATGAAAATTACATGTTCTCTGTTCGAGAGTTTTGGATTCGGTCCTTTGCTTCTATGTCCTTTCTTCCTTTTATACTTCATGAACGATCTCTTTGTGATCAACCGCCCTAAAAACTGCTTGATCGTCCTATAACTGCCCACTTTTTTTGTAATGGCCAACTTGTCACGAAAACTGCCTCCTTTAACTGCTACCATTACTCTTCATTGTTCAACCGCTTTCGATTGAATTCCTTGAATCGTGGAACGTGATAGGGCTACTCTAATAACTGCTTTGATAACTGCACTTCTTGATAAGCGCGACGCTTTGTGTTTGTTAAGACCTTGGGCTACTTGAAAGTTTGGCAAGAATAGAGTAACAGCTCTGGGCGACTGTATGACACTCCATTCGCTCAAATTCTGGGCAACTTGCAATCTTGGGCAATGGCGTTACCGCGTTCTTGGGCCTCCTCATTTGGGCCTTCATCTTAATTTGTTCGATTGGGCTTCGTTCTTTGGGTTATCTGATTTGGGGATCCTCCAATTGGGCTTCACTCCTTGGGCTGTTCGATTTGGGCTGAATTTTTATGTGTCAACAATTACCCCCCAATATGGCAGAATTAATAATAATTATTAAATTTTGCCATATCCACTTTGTGTTTCCAGCAACATTCGAAATTCCCAAGAATTTCAATCATTGTTTCCTTCTATAACTTGAAAAAGGTGCGTCGTTTTGCAAACCCTTATAACCCCCAAACACGCCATTTCACTGCACCACTAAATCACGCCTCAAATTTTTTCGCGTCTCTCTCAAGATTTACTGTTCACCTTTTGCTTCCCTGCTACGTAACCCTGCAAAACTTCGTTCCATCTCAAATGGCTACTTCACAATCTCAAGCTGGCGACTCCTTTAGTTTCGATGACTTTCAGAAACTCCTGAGTCGTCATATATAACTCCGAGTTTTCTCGCACCCGCCGACGTTGGACGTAATGAGTTCTACTTGGGTCCTTTCTTTAACAATACAGAGGCAGTTGAACAGGCGGCGGTGGGTCAGCTGTTTCCTTGCACTCAGGGCCCTCCGTTTCTAAACTCTCTACCGCTGGGGCCACTTCGCGAAAGAGGTATTCGCACTTGGCCTAAATCTGATGTAGCTTTCCGTAGGTGGCATGCTCGTCTTGTTGGTCATGGTCCCACTAAAGCACTTTTTGATAATGCTAGGATTTCTGATTTGCTAGAAATCTCCATTCGCTCCCTACCTTTGATTCTGCACTTTTTCGATTGCTTTGAGCTTTTGGTCTTCCGAGTATAATACCTTTATTTTCCCTCTCGGCCCCATGTCTATTACTCTAAGGGATGTTGGGGCCCTAGTCAATCTACCACCTTTGGACGATACCATTTTTCCTGGTATCTTGGTTTCTGGTGGCGCCCCAAAGTTTGGTAAAAACTACACTGATTCTTATTCAAGCCTGCAGACCCTCCACAATCATTCGAGTGCTGAGCCTTCCCATACTGAGCGAGTGGCCTTCCTTTTAGTTTGACTTTGTACATATGTTTTGTGCGTGCCAAGCATAAAGCCCTCCTTGAGTTATTTACCTATAGCGTACGAATTGGCGCGTGGCAGGCCTTTGAATTTGTGTTCTTTGTTTTTGGCTGCTCTTTATAGGGGCATGGCCTCTCTTCAATCTCAATTGAAGAATAGTGCATCTCCCACTGGCAGTGGACCCCTTTGGTTTACTCAACTGTGGTTGAGATCCTATTTCCCATCGCTTGGCGCTCCTTCAATTTCTCGTTCTTCTGCCAGCTGCTATGGGCTAGCCATTGAGCCCTTAGTTCCTATAAATATGTCCAGAAGGGACATTTTTTCGTTCTTTTATTCTTTGGATTCAATCTCTTCCTTTTTTCCTTTTCCTTCTATTTTGACTCCGAACTATGTACATCCCCCTTCCTCTATAGACAGTGCGAGCACCTCCCTGCTTATTTGGATCCAGTTTTTAACCGGGAGGGAGCTTTTTCATGATATCTTAACTGGGACCAATGCCAAAGCGGGGGTAGAAATTTATGCTCCCCAATTTTTTGCTCGCCAGCTTGGTTTCGGCCAAACTTGGCATGTTCCTCTTTGCTATTCGAGGAACTTAATTGACCGTTTTCATACCATTAATAAGGCGGAAGCAGAGGCTATAAATGTTCGCAACCTCCATTTATCAAGCCACTTTTCATTAGCCACTTTTAATTCTTGTCATGCCACTCACCCTCTTTTTGAGCAGCTCTGGCCGTCAGTGAAGCGCAGATTATTTGCGACTGACTCCAATCGTGCCTTTCATTTATTAGACCAACCGAGCATTTCTTCCCCTCCTCCTATTTCAGTCACTCCCTTGTCCATTTGGAGTCCTTCTCCTTCTCGTCGCACTAAACAGTCTACTTGTCCATCTTCTTCTCTCCCTGCCAAGCCCACCACAGCCAAGAGTGCTCCAAGCCGCAAACGGCCAGCCTCAGCATCTCCTATTCTGGAGGATGATGTTGATGATGATGATGATGCCCCTTTTATCGTCAGGAGGAAGCTAATTAAATTGATTTACTTACAAGTATACTTTTTCACATTTGAAACTTTTCTGTGTGCTGATGATCTTTTGGACTTCTCAGAAAAGTTCAACCTCTCCTTCAAAGGCTTTGACAGCTCCTACTCCATCATCCTCTGCTGAGGCTACTTCATCCAAACCGGTTGATGAGGAGGCTACGCTTAAAGAGACATCTTCAATCCCAGAGTCCTCATCACAACCCATGGATGAGCCACCTTCTTCCCAGGGTGTCAACCCCCCTAACATCGAAGCAGAAGGCAATTCAGTATTTTGATGTCTTACCTTTGATTGTGCTGTTGGTTTCTGATTTGTTGCTCTTGAGTTTTGCAAATACTCCTATGAGTCTGCCCGTTGTGGCAACATCTTCTCGCTCAGATAAGGGGAAGTCCTCACGAATGGAGGAGTCGTTGGTGGCAGACTTGGTTGAGGGCATGCCATCTTCCACGATTGTTGATGAGGTAATCTCTGCTCCACTTCTATTTCTATCTTGTTCGTTGTAGTGAGGACCTTTAACATTGGCAACCTTCTTCGCAGGATGCTGACAGGATTGTGCGTTCTATCCATGACTTGTTCGCTTCCTGGGGGCAAGTCCAGACGTCTCGCCCTGCTCTATCTGATCGTCCTGTTGCTTCTTCAGAGAAAGATTTGAAGTTCCTCAAGGAGTCAGTATTTGAGTACGTATCCTTCATGGATATGGATATTGGAAGGGCTAGTGCTCTTGGTCGAGCATCTGGCTGATGAATATTGGACGGTCTTCTCCTTCATTGCCAATATTTACTTTGACCAGAGGGTCTTGTGCTTGAGCGTATCCAGGTTTGGCAATCCGCATCACTTCGTCGTCCAGCTCCCTTGTAAGTACTTCCTCTTCCAAACAGTCCACCTTGTTGACTTCTCGGCCAATGCTTTGCTCTAACTCGAATACTGCCAACTTGTCCTTCAGCGCTTTTAGGGCAGTCTCTTCCTTCGCCTTGTCATTGCATTCCTTATTGAAAGTCATCAGTCTGGTTTTGAAGGCCTGAATGTCGGCCATTTGCTTTCGTAACTCAGAATCCATTCAAGATTCCTTGATTATTCTTTTGCCAATCACTGGCTCTTCTAGGGCCACTATATTTGGCCTCATCTGTTTGAACATCTCAGTGAGTGCGTCCACTGAGAACGGTTCTTCGCTTTGCGCGACAACCTGAGTTTCTTCTCCGTCTTGTACTACCCTAACAGGTCCATAGTTTCCTTCGTACATGAACTTTTCCACTGAATTTGCTTCTGCAACAAAAGGCCTATGATCAGCCTGTACCGCCTCAGCTTCGCCTTTGTCATTCCAAAAGATCAAGCATTGATGGAGCGATGAGGGTATACAACGACTTCCGTGTATCCAATCTCTTCCTAGGAGCACGTTGTAACTAGTAGGACCATCTATTACAAAGAAGACATTGGTTCTAGTAGTCGTCCCTATAGTTATGTCCAATAGCATAACTCCCTTAGCTGAAGTTGCTCCTCCATTGAAGCTAGTGACGATGACTTCTGTAGAAATCATGTCACCCTCTGTCTTTGCGAACTTCCTCATCATTCTAGATGGAATGGTGTTTATAGCTGCTCCATTGTCGACAAGCACTTTTGCCACTGGGACGCCGTTAACTAGAGCTTTAACGTATAATGGCCTCAAGTGTTTTGTTAATTTCATGGCTGGCCGTTTAAAAATAACCTTTTCGGCAGCCTCTATTTCTACTTCCTGCTTGTTTTCTGTTGAATTATCCCCCTGTGACAAATCGACGTGCAGTATATCACGCAGATCCTCTGTCTCCTGAACTTCCTTCCTACTTCTTTCTTATGCTTCCTCATCAGTTACCCAACCTGTTGGAGGGGGCATTATTCTTGGAGGTGACCCATACTTTTCAGAGCGAGGCACTCTCTTCTTCCTTTTGGGTGTCC